AGATTATTAATGCCTAAAATTATGTTTCATCAAATTGATATTAAAATATTCTAGAAATTTAGATTCAACAAAAATAGCTGAGTTTTATAAAGGTCTCGCGCAGTGGTAATATGAAAAGCTATTGGTCGAATTCAAACGCGAAAAACCATACCGTATAGGAGATGTAACATAGATTAACGATGTAGAGAAAAATCATGCGCAGTAGCAGTGTCAAAATAATAAAGAAATATCTATTGAGATATTATATTAACTCTGAAAATGATTATGTAGCTCATTTTCGGTCTATAATTTAACTTTATCTACCTAATAATTGTTTTATTATGCAAAATAGTTAAAAAATTATTGTATTCTACAGTAAAGAATGGAAAAGGATTTGTCGAAACTCGTTAATATAAATATAAATAATTATTAAACTTAATAGTATCTCACAGATAGAAATAGCGATCAGTGCTAATATTTTTAAAAGACAATGGTTTATTCTTTAATAATAAAAGACTAAAATAATTTTAAATACGGCCCTGCAATGTGCTGTCTTTAAACAGGAAATTGCATTCCATATTTTCCCATTGCAAGCATTAAAATAAAAGTTAATCTGTTTAAAAGAAAATTAACTGAATAATTTTCCTTGTAAAATTTAATTGGTTGCATAAAATTTGTCTAGAAGAAAATGAGATTTATTTAAATGAAACTGAATATAAACTGAGGAAATAGGTACTTTAAAACCACCAATCCGATTTATGCAAAAAAAGGATTCTGTTTTTTTTTTATTTTAAATAGGTAACTATTTATTTAATGAACGAAGAAAATGAAATACGTCTTAGTATGAAAAATAAATCGGAATTTTCAAATTATTCAGCCACTTATTTTCAGATATTTCTATGACTTTTCGAATTTTGATTTGCGATTTACGATTTAGATAAATTCACAATTTTGAAAAATATATATAAAAAAATAGGTCAATGAGTCCTAATAAGAGAAAAAGAAATAACGAAAATGTAAATAACTAGGGGTTAACAACTACAAACCTTTATAATTAGTCACATATATTACCGAAGAAAAAAAATTAATTTCTAGATAAATTATAACGTTTAAATTTGACCTTAGAGCGGTTACCATCGAATCCTATTTAAACTTATAGTAGGTGAGTTCGGGCTGCGTACTCATGAGTGAAGTGGTGTAAATAAGCGTAAACGGAGTGCTCATATGGTTTTACTCTCAGCAAAGAATACCTACCCAAGAAGCGAAACTAAATGGGCGATTCGTGGACAAAAAACTGCCAAGTTTTCTCAGTGTTTTAGAGGTGGTTTAACGTCAAATATAGTTGTCAGTTTATGTAGAGCAACGTTTGGTATATTATTATTAGCGTTTTGTGAAAATTGCAGTATAGTTAAATAGTTGTATTTAACTAAGTAGTAATTAGAAATTAGATAGTTTTAAAATTTGTATTACATGAAAAAAAAAAAAAATATATTGCGTTGCATTAAATTTTATTGAACGTTTTTGCATCTAACTCTAAATGTTTTCTTTTTAATTTCTAAATCACTCATGATAATTTACGCATACGTATTATGCATCGTTTAATTATTTAGTCTTTTCTTTAAATATTAATTTTTTTTGTTTTTCAAACCATTCGAATTAAAACAGTTAATAAACAGTAATACAAAACAATAATAGAATCGGTGAATTCGAAAACCGTACAAGTCCAAAATTTGACATTTCAAAGTAAGATAGCCATTTGCCATTTTGTTTAAAATTTTTCTCTTCATTGATTGAGCTTAAAAACCTTACTAGATACCTAGCCGTCAACGTAGTACAGCTGATTACACCCGTGAAATTAGGCGAAAAACCGTACATATCCGTGACTCGTACGGTTTTTCATCTGAACAAAAAAATAATGGTCAGTTGCTATGGTCAGTTGGAAAACCACAAATACTGATTAGATGACTGAGAAAACAGTTTTGATATTGTATTTTTCCTCCTTTTTGAATAAATATTAAATAAATAAAAAAATGTTCACCTGTTTATTTTTATTTACAGGGTTGAGTTCAAAACCTGTACAAGTCCATATTTCATTTGTATCTGTCATTGGTAGTCCATTTTATTTTTTGAAAAATTACCATTAAAAATACATTGCAAAACCACGAGATCTAAAACTTTTCTATGCGGACGGCTGATTTTGGACATGTACGGTTTTCGACCACACCAATTCAATTAAAATATATGACAAACTCCCTTCGTGGAACTAACTCGCTACTACTAGGATGCAATCGAAATGCTGTTACAGCTACCTACAGTACTTCTGGATATGTAACGTATGGGTGGGTTACTCCACGGCATTTAGTCCTCACTAAGCCCATTGTGTATTCTCTTAAGATGATAGGCACCTCCTAGCTCTTGAGCCAGCCTACAGATTTATTGTAGTTGACGTTACCAGGAGGTGATTCTCTTATATCGGCCGGTGTTAGCCATTACTCGCCGAAAATAAATCTTCTAATAGATGAGAGCGACGGGCAATCGTAGAGAATATGCTCAATGGTCTTATCTTTTTGTTCGCATCCCCTGCAGGGTGCAGATTCTGACAGCCCGATTATATGGAGATGCTTCCGTACTTGGCAATGACCAGTTAGAATGCCTGTGATCACATGCAGATTCTGTTTAGTCATAGTCAAGTATTTGTTTGGTCTAGTGTTGTCAGGAAAACTTAAAATCTCCCTGGTAACTCTGCAGTTTCTTGTTTCATCCCATCTTTCCTTCAATTTCACAAGGAAATAATCTTTAATTAGATCTGTCACTACCGATGTAGTCAGTCCAATAGAAGGGCCAGGTCCAAACAGTATTTGGTTGACTGTCTTCTTGGCTAGTGAATCAGCAAGAAGGCTACCTTTCGATGTGGCGTCACCTTTGATCCATCTTAAGGTGACCGCATTGTTGGATTGATACTCTTGCCAAAGCTTCGTGACATTCTAGTACTAACCCTGAGTAAATTCGTAGTCTGTTCAGGGTAAGTAGTGCTTATCTGCTATCTGTATGGATGAGCAATGATATTGTTTCTAGTAATTTCTTTTGCTGCTATGAGAAACATAGTGAGCTCGGTTTGAACTACATGGCACTATTGCTCACAGCCCATTTTGTGTTGAGGTTTAAGGAATTAGAGTATATTTCACATCCTAAGCATTATTTTGTTTTAGCACCGTCGTTGTAGATATGAATCGTACCTGCCACTTCCGGCTCTTCAGTTTGTTCTGTTATCACTTCATGTGGCTTATCGAAGATATATCTCGGTGAGATGAAGTTCATGTTCGCTTGAAGCCGTGGGAGCGTATCGAGCGCCTTTTGCCAAAAGCGACGTCTCGCCAGATCGCGTACATCAGGTTCTATTTCAACCGTGCAGAGGCGTGTCATTGTCCAACCTCCTTGATGTAAATATCAAGAAGAGTGAGACTAAGAACGACTTCCATGGCTCTGGTTGGTGTGGTTTTATGGCTGCTGTTATAATGAGACATGCTGTTATTTGAATTTGTTCCATTCTGCGAATAGCTATCAATTTTTGGATTTTCGGTACCCAGACAACTGCACCGTATGTAAGTATAAGACTCTGGGAAAGAAACCCAAGGTGAGCCCCACCGTTCGGCGGTATTGTTTATAAGCAATGTATGCTCTTTTGTTTTCTAAATGTTAATATGCTGTCAAAGGTGCTACCTAGATACTGCACCTGTAGATTTTAATTAAATTTTCATCCTTTTCCTTGTGAAAAGAACCATTTCTGTCTTCTTGGGATTGATAGACAGTGAATGGTCCTTGCACCACTGTTCCATAATTGTTCTCAAAATTGTCTATTTACACAATGATCAGGTCATCTGCTTTCGCTATTGTGTAGTGACTGTTATTATTGTACCTACAGTACTTATTTCGTTAATAAAATAATCTACATAGTAAGAATTTATTTCAGTATGTGTTTAATTTTTATGAACCAAACGACAAATATTTATTAATTTTCATACGTTTCCCAGTGTATTAAGTTCCCTTGCTTTGGTACATACGAAAACTAATACAGTTTCGCTTCTTGGGTATGTATTCTTTGCTCTCAGAGTTAAATTTCAGTTGTCAATGTGACATACTAATACTTAAAACCTAATCGTACTTATCAGTAACAACCGTATAAGTTTCTTCCATATTAAGAGGGTTCTATACCCATCAGCTCCGTCAATTTCATACATAACCTCGAAATCTTCGTCCCTTACGTCTTCGCCATAATCCAAAAATAGTGTAATGTAAGATATTTTCGAATGCCACACAATGTGGATAAATTCTTATCGAAGAAAGGACAAACTTAATTTAAACAATAATGGTTAGTAAAATGCACAAGTGTTATAGGTTTAGAGACAGTGAAAAGTTGCTAAAATAAAAAATATATAAATACTTTTTATTTTAGCATGAAGTTGCCCTATCTACTTTGAGGAAAGTAGCAAACATAGACGCAAGAGAAGAAAACTGAATTCCACCAGGTACATGCGTCCTCACTAAGCAAAGAAAATAGGTAATTTAAAATTTTAGCAGATAAAACAGTAGTTTCCTATCCCAATACAACGGTCCCTTTTCAAGAAATACTATGCAAGAGCAGGACAGGAACATATATAAGAATAAGATACATGAATAGAAAAATTGGTTTTGAATATTTTCAAAGTAAACTTGACAAAGAAATGTTTAAATTTACTAAATAAAAAAATTATTTTTTATAAATAAATAATTCGTTTCTGCATACTAAGAAAATAAATTTACTACCACGCCCCGAAAGTACAAATTTCAGTCAAACTTATTATTTTGAGTCTATATTATTTACCTTAAACCTTCATATTTGTAAACGAATATATTACAAAATAACCAATAAAGCATTCTAACCAGATGGAAAGCTGCTAATAAGCTTTCGGCTTCCATAGACAAAAAAGACTTTCCATACTTGCTTAACGCGACCTTTCTAAAGACGGATAAGAAAAACGCCAATGGCGTCTTTCAGAGCCACTGGAATAGCACCATTCGATCCTAAATCTGTCTTGCGAAAAATTCCATCAGCAAACCTCGAAGAAGAACCTGATCAAGTTGTCAATAATGTCCTGGTTGAATACTTGCAACAGCAAAGATTTGCAGCTGTACCAAGCAGACAAAATGTAAGGAGGCAAAAGCTTGTAGTCGAATCCGGAAAGAGTGTGTCTGCGCCTGTCGAAGAAGACTCAGATAGCCAATCCAGTCCACTTGAATCACTGACCAACGATGATTCCGACAACGAACCAATGGAAGATATCCAGGAAGAAGTAGATTATCTGACTCCAAACGAAAATAACGTAGAAAAAGGGATTTTTTTGCTGGTGAAAGTATTAGGGGGTTCAAGGAAGAAAACCAATTATAGATACGTTGCCATGGTCCAAAATATTTCCGAAGACGAAATTGAAGTAGTAGGCATGAAGTCCCTAGTAGAGGGGAAAAAGATTTTTCAAACTATGGAGAATGATTTATTCTCAATTGGCTTTTCTGACATAATAGCTGTGTTGCCAGATCCAGAAATGAAACATTTCGACGGCCAAGAAGCATATTTTTTCAAGAATATAGTGGACATTAATGAAATGTAGTTACCTACCTGCTTCTATTTTTTCTGTAACTATATGTGTTTTCTGTATTCTATTTGATCATAGTTTTGTTCCTTTATTTTTTATTTGCCAATAAAACTTTATTATTACACAAAAATCAAATTTATAGATTGATCAATTTCACCCACATTATAAAATTATATTATAACTTTTTTCCGATCAAGTAAAATTTCGTCGGGATTAAATTAATCATATTCCTAGTGTTTGTACGTTATTTCTATGCATTTAAATACACGTGATCAATTTGACCCCACTAAAGGTATAAAATTGACCAGTTTTATTATACAGTGTGTCCATGAATGGGTCCCCAAGGGGGAAAAAATCTTTATTAATCATTTTACGACCAAAAGTCATTCTTTATAAAAAGTTCTGCTTGTTGAGAAAATGGAGTTGCCTTATAAAATTTTTAGATTAAATGTACAGGGTGTTAATAAATTAGGAAAATATGAAAATGCTTCATGAGGGAAGCACATTTTGGAAAATTTTGTTTTACCATTTCTTAATACTTTAGATCCAGAAGTTCGTAGTAATATGTTTTGGCAACAAGACGGCTGTCCTGCTCATTGCACAGCCTTGGTCAGACAATGGTTAAATGATCATTTTGGCGCAAGGTGGATAGGGAGGTTCGGCCCAATTAATTATCCAGCTAGGTCGCCTGATCTTTCATTACTCGATTTCTTTTTGTGGAGTGCATTAAAACAAAAGGTTTACTCAAATAATCTTCCACATGATAGAGAAATATTAAAAGAGCGCATAGAAGAAGAAATCCATGAACTGAATGTGCCGCAAATCATTCGTAAAGTGTACGGTAAATTTATTAAGTTAGCGGAAAAATGTGTCGAGGTGGGAGGTAGTTATGTAGAATAATTTTAAAATATTGGAATTTTTTTTAAAAATTTGTATTTAGTCTCTATGCTAGTTTATAAACAACTTTGTTTTATAAAATTTTTGTTAAAAAGAATAAATAATGGTACTTCCATCTTGAAGCATTTTCATATTTTCCTAATTTATTAACACCCTGTACATTTAATCTAAAATTTTTATAAGGCAACTCCATTTTCTCAATAAGCAGAACTTTTTATAAAGAATGACTTTTGGTCGTAAAATGAATAATAAAGATTTTTTCCCCCTTGGGGACCCCATACATAGACACACTGTATATAAATGTTTTATGTATTGTAACTACACCTTCTGGTGTAAAATTCGTTGCGTTTATTGAGTTTAGAATGAAAGTACACTTTAAAACAAAAAAAAATTGATCAATTTCGCCCCATTTTACGGTATTTAAAAAGTTAAAAATCTTAAATTACTACGTATCATAACATAATATTATATTAGGATAAGTCTTTCTAATTATCACCCTTTCCTAACAACCAATAATATGAGGTGACGTTATTAATGGACATTTTAACGCTACAAAGGGTAACTGAAAAATGACCCACCATTGTCAATGTAACTCCCTGTATATTCTTATCGGAGTCTAGCTTTATTTATATAGTAATGTTCATGATATTGTAAAATATAAAATGTATCTGACCCTAAAAACTAGAAAATGTGTCGAACACACAATAAAATATATATTTTTTGTTTTAAATAAATTATAGTAACCACTAAAACCTTCTTAAGGTTTGTCAAATCAAATAACTGTCCAACTACCAGCTAAAACACAAAAAATTTAATAAACCGTCGACCACATAATTCCTCATAAATATTTCAACCCCCGTCAGTCGCGTTATATGCCAGCCCTGCCATCGTAAATAATGGAAAAAGCTGGCCGAGACAAATTGACGGAATTACTTGGAGAGTACTAGTTCGTTGTCACAAGCTCCTTATTAAATAATAAAAATTAATTGCGACACCCCAAACGAGCGTGGGAAAGCTGCTGCCCTCAGAAAACACAGAAAACCTCTTACTTTTCATCAAACATTCATACCGAGAAATATCTCGTTTGGGGACTCAATATATTTAATTTAGTTGGAGGTTATTTTTTTCTGGAAACGAATAGTTTTTCTTCATTCGTGTTTTGTAAGATAGCGTATGGAGCCTCGGTTTTTTTATTATTTTACTCTTTATAATAATAATAATAATTATTTTTTTAGAGGTTATGTGCTGCAACAGATTATCTTTTATGATTTTACGCTGTGTTGTCATATCATCTCTTGTGAAAAAATCTCGGGAGTAAGGAAATTTATCCTTGTAAACAAGATGTTGTTACTAGATTTAGCTCTTCTCTAGAAATGTAACAAACAACTATCAAAAGTGTAAAGCACAAATGTTTTGGTATTCTCTACTTAATGACTAGCGTGTTGATGATCGCACTTCAAGATTTTTAAACATTAAAATATGGACCTAAATATTAAAATATTAGCAAATGTATGTTGTTTGTTATGTTTTTGATACCTAATAATTCTGGAATTGGCCTAAATATATTCTAATAAAGTTTATAATTATAATGTCAAAATGACATTCAATTCCTAACTTAAATATTTGGATCAATCAGCATTTACGATTTATAATTTTGACAGCTTCCAACAAAAATTAAAATCACTTACAAATAGCATGTATATACGAGATTATAATTATGAACCTATAAAACAAAAAAGTGGGTATGTTAATGATTGTAAAGATGATTATAATGTAAAACAAAATTTAAATAAATTTAAAAATTATCACTAGTAATACCACTAGAGGTCAAAAAATTTCCTGATATTAATTTGACCTCGCGTGGTATTCGGTAAGAAAATTCCACGCCGAATTATGGTTGAAAATTAAATATTTTTAAAATTAATTTTTCGTTTCTCAACAATGCAAATTATTTTCTCCAAGTCACCAGTGAAACATAAAAGGTGTTGTCTCCTTGATTGTTGAGTTCTCATGGTAACTAAGTGAGACCCTAACCTCGAATATAATTTCAGTTTTGAAGTTGTCAAGCGGCCCGACGTAAAAAAATGTTTCGCTGCAATTATTTAGGCCTTCAAATTGCTTATTTCTACTCATTGTAGTTGCATGGGAATACCATTTGAAAATAGAAAATAGTATATTCTTTAATTTTACGTAAGTTCTGAATAACTACAAGTTGTAGAAAATTGTTTTTCTGCGTTTTTATTAACATGCGTTATGAGCGCTTTAAAATGGTATAAAATTCATAACCAGCGTCAGCAAGCATCAATCGTAGGAGGCTGTGATCATTGTATTTTGACAGTTCAAAACATTAAATAACTCGCGTTTTGTTGCGATAAAGAATATTGCACAGCAAGTAAAACCAACAAAATTACCTATTTGTTTAAAAATGAATCGATTTGAAAATCATACGCTATGCAAAATATGCGTGAAATTGTCTGATGTAATGATCAATCATTGCACCATGACTTACTTACTCGGATTAATAGAGGATTGTGGCTCCAACTTGAAAAACGAAAATTTGTTCCGAATTGTCCACGAATATTTGCACCTAAACTACGCAAAATTCAAAGTGCTGAATGGGAAAAAGGTGAATAAATTAGTGTCTAAATATTATATATATTTTATTAGACATAGACACATAATTCAAAGCATCCAAAGTCCTGCATTTTCGCCATTAAGAAGAAAAGAAGTGGCCGAAGAATATAGAAAACACCTTAGCATTGTAACTAAAATGTATCAAAACTAAACCTATTATGTGAACAAATAAAAACCAGTCTGTCAAAAATGGTCTGTTATTGTAAACGTCAAAAAATTTCCAGTATAATTCGCTATTGGGTACCCCACGAGAAAAAAATTTCCACTAAAATACCTCCGTTGCCATGGTGATCTGTCAAAAACACGTATTTTGATTGGTTCAAAATTACAGGTGTGGAATTTTCATCAAAATATTCAAAGTGCTAATACTAAATTAGATCAGTTAAAAATATATTTAGCTCAGTTTTATCCTAACTTTGATTGCATTGTGTTATTGGAAACTTAAAAAGTAAATAGTATAATTTGGAGTGAGGGTAGCCATATGTGAGTAGTAGGGATTAAGTGTAAGGGGTTAAAGAAAAGGTCCTTTATTTCTCACAAGTCAATTTAATTGGCGACAGTTTACTATATTGATTCGTTAAAAATCTAGATAGATGTCTTGAGAGTCTGATAGTTTTTACTTTTTACTTTTTTACTTTTTACTTTTTTACTTTTTACTTTTTTACTTTTTACTTTTTACTTTTTACTTTTTACTTTTTACTTTTTACTTTTTACTTTTTACTTTTTACTTTTTACTTTTTTACTTTTTACTTTTTACTTTTTACTTTTTTACTTTTTACTTTTTACTTTTTACTTTTTACTTTTTACTTTTTTACTTTTTACTTTTTTACTTTTTACTTTTTACTTTTTTACTTTTTACTTTTTACTTTTTTACTTTTTACTTTTTTACTTTTTTACTTTTTTACTTTTTTACTTTTTTACTTTTTACTTTTTTACTTTTTACTTTTTTACTTTTTACTTTTTACTTTTTACTTTTTTACTTTTTTACTTTTTACTTTTTTACTTTTTACTTTTTTACTTTTTACTTTTTACTTTTTACTTTTTACTTTTTACTTTTTACTTTTTACTTTTTACTTTTTACTTTTTTACTTTTTACTTTTTTAC